AAAGTGTTCAAAAATCGTGTCTGGGTAACTTTTATTAGATTTAAATAATTATATCTGAGATAGAGGGCATTTTGATAATCAAAACATAATTTTAATTTTGGTCGGAAAAAACGCTTATTATATAATTTTCATATATGAAAATTGTATGATAAGCAGTTTTTCATAAACAGAGAACAAATTTTAGGCAAAAAAAAATCTTTTTTTTTTGGTTGTAAGCTTGCTTTTGTGCTAAAAGATAAATTCTACGAGAAAATTTAGCAAAATTTGATATTTTTTTGTGTTTATAACGTAGTCCAGAATGAGTTTTTTACACAAAAAATCCAAAAATCACAAAAAGGTTTTTTTTATTAACACAATTAATTATTTTTTTGTTTCGTTTGTTAAGATAAAAACAAATTTGTGAAAAACAACACGTCTTTTTTTCTCAACCACCAAAATTTTCAAATTAAAATTTATCTAGGCATTCACAAAAAGTTACACTGCTAGAATATAGTTCCATCTGAAAATGTTAAAATTAATTTTCATGGCTAAAATAACCATCGCCATTAAAAAAGCTGGATATTATCTAAAATTTTTTCGACAAACAATTGAATATCAATTTCAGTCTTCCGATTTTCAAAGAAAAATGTTAAGTTTAATCTTGGGTCATATTTTTTTCTAGAACAATTTCTAAAAGAATGTTGTCATCCAAACTGGAGCTTCCCAAGCGTGTAATGCTAAGCACCATTCCTTATGCGCTTTAAGCGTACGTAAACTCCTGTTGCTTAACTTTTATAGACTACATCTATGATGCTGATAGGAACTACAACACACTGACGCAGATTTACTTTTGAAGTCTACTATTTACTATTTCTATTGAAAAAAAAAGAATTTAGCTTATATTGAGAAAGGGTAGGTTCAAATCTCTTTCAAACAATCTAACAATTCAAACAAGTTTTTGGTTGTGTAGTCCGCTCTTATTTCCAAATTCACTCGTTCTCGCGATTTTGAAACAAATTTATGTGTTCAAATTGATTTTGTGACAAGACTGCTCCTGCCCGTTTATCAATGCAAAACTCTGTATTTTGGACAATTTTCAAATATAAAGAAGAAAAATTATTCGTATAGATAAAAGTTGAGATCAATGACGAATAGAAAAAAACACCAATACAAAATATTACAAAAATTTTTAAGGGTAACAATTATTTACAAAAACTAAGTCTTCAGATTGCGTTTAAATTTTTTTTCACCAGTTAGCTTTTCTCTGATTCCTCTTTAACGCTTCCAAGTCCAATTAAGATGCCACATTTTTAAAAAAAAAACTTATACGACAAATTTACATGCGGAAAAATTTGTCTGCGGTGTTGTAAAACATATCAGCATCATAGATGTAGTCTATAAAAATTAAGCAAAAGGAGTTTACGTACGTTTAAAGTGCATAAAGGACAGTGCTTAGCACACACTCTTGGGAAGCTCCAGTTTGGATAACAATTGTCATTTGTACAACTTTCTTTCAAAAATTGGTAAAGAAAAAAATAAGACCATAGGTTAAACATTCCTCGTTTTTTTGAAAGTCGGAAGACTGAAATTGGTATACAATCATTTGTCGAAAAGATTTTATATAAAATGGAGCTTTCTTCATGGCGACGGTTTTTTTTATCCATGAAAATTATTTTTAACATTTTCACATGCAATTATATTCCAGCAGTGTAACTTTTTGTAAGTGCCTAGATATTTTTTAACTTGAAAATTTTGGTGGTTGAGAAAAAAGGCCTTATCTTAGCAAAATAATCAAAAAAATAAAAATCGTGTTTACAAAAAAACCACAATTTTTGTAATTTTTGGATTACTTGTCTGAAAAACTCATTCTGGACTACTTTATAAACGCAAAGAAAAACTAATTTTGCTCGCAATTTTTTTTTCGTAGAATTTATATTTGAGCACAAAAGCAAGCTTACAACCAAAAAAAAAAGGTTTTTTTTGCCTAAAATTTGCGTCTTTGTTTTCTGTTTATGAAAAAATGCATATCAGACTATTTTCATATATGAAAGGTATATGATAAGCATTTTTTCCGACCAAAATTGAAATTGTGTTTTTGATTGTCAAAATGCCCTCTATCTTAGATATAATTATTTAAATCTAATTAAATTTACCCTGTTGCAGCGAAAATGTAAGCGAGAGTATAATTGCATGAGAGTATAAATTGAACCAAAATGTAACTGCATATAGGAACAGTAGCCGAGCGTATACAGGGTGCGTCCCGAAGGGTTCGCGCCGGTTCGAATCCCGCCTAGGTCATTTCCTTTCTAGAACTCAAATATGCCCCGAATTTGATGGGACGCTCAGTAACCAGGTTCGAAGCGCCCCCCCCCCCCCCAAAAAAAACCTATTTTAACCGTCTTTTCGCTCTGATTTGGTTCAGTTTTGATTAAGGCTGACCTTTAAAAAGAGCAATTTGTCTCAAGGACAAATACTGGCCATTTAAGCAGCTTGCTTTGAGTTATGCAGATGTTTATGGCCGATGTTACCGATTATGAAATATGTTTTGAAAATTCTTTAAATTATGGATTTCCAGAGTTATTTTTGCCGAGAAAATGCTCTGTAATTCAACTGTTTGAAAGTCGATATTTTTAAGATTCCATTTGTGGAGATTTACGCGCACATTTTGGCGCCCCACATGGGACCCTTTTTTGATCTCTGTCCCCGAATTATCATTCTTTGCCCCCCCCTTTCCTTCGGTTGAATTTGGCAGCTAGGGAATACAAGGGACCTTTCCCGGACACGTTTATTAGCAGATTGCATTTCCCCGGACACATTGCAAGCTGCAGTTTCCCCGACACGACAGTAATCTGCACAAAGGGGGTGAAGTCACGAAGTTACCGGACAAATACCCAGTCCGGCGTAAAGTTGGCCGATACAGAGTGAAGTTGTGCTATTGGCCGAAAGCCGAAAGAGAGTGAAGTTGGCCGAAACAGAGTGAAGTTGTGCTGTTTTAACTCATTTTTTTAAATACCAGAAGTCTTCAATTGATTTTAAGATGAAATATCAGTAAAAATTGTAAATAAAATAATTGAGAAATTTTATTTAGATGTTTTTTGCGATAAATTTGGTTGCCTGCTTTTTGAATACTCATTTTTTGCAAGACTTGAATCGAAATTACGTATAACAAATCGTTTTATTACTCCATTCAAATCATTTTGCTGCGTTATTGGTTTTCAATTTGGTTTTTAAAATATCATTGTATGAAAGTTTCAGCAAATATAATCTGATATTTCGATTTTTCAAAAAATTTCAGTTTTATACAAGCACCGTTTCGTGGCCCACGATGATACAGGCGGTGCCGATTTAAATTACCTAGGTCATGAAGCACACTAATGTGTATAATTATTGCCACTTAATACCTTCCTCTGAACAGAAAAGGCAATGTTCTAACATTTTGAGGCATAATGCAAAACACCAAGACATAACACAGTCTTTAGTTGAGTTCTAAGTGAACTATTCTATTTTTTGGAAAAATTTCAATTAAGCAAAGAATGTTGTCAAATGAAAACTAACGTTTTTGATACAAAACAAATTGGCTTTTGACTCTTTGGTTTGCTACCGCTCGCCTCAAAGTACGCACAGCCGTGCAAGCTTTTTTCACAGGCCAATGTTTCGTGTGAAAATTGTTTGATACACAAAAAAAATTGGGTTAAGACCATTGCCGTCTCAATGCCCAGAGATTTTCAGACCTATAAACCTTGATAACCAAATCATGATAAGCTCTGCGTTTGCAGCCAATAAATTTAAGGTAGCAGGCCATCGGGTCGAAGAGTAAACAAGACGTAAATCAGATTACCATACCAATAAGCCAGAAACTATGATTTGTATGCAACCCAGCAACATATTTTGACAGTTACTATGCAAGAGTTAAGTAATTTTGGTGTAATTTACGTTATTCGGATGTAGTTTTAACTTCCGCCGATTTAAAAGATCGTAGTGTGCTTATATTCCGACTTTCGGAGAAAGCGACGGAATGTTTGGGTTCGCTAAAGTTCTAAAAAATTGATGGAATGTGCTTTTTATCATTCGAGATACGTGTGAATAGTCCTGCAGAAGTTGACACGTTGAAGTTTTGCGATCTCGCTATTGCGCATACCGTAGCTAAAACTATTACACTGATCGATTCTCGAAAGACATTGTCAACATATGAATGCATGAGCTGACGAAGGAACTCAACAAATACGACGAATTCTTTCTTAAAGACGAATGCGTCTCAGAGGATACTAATCGGTCGACGTGACTGAGTTTATCCGGCGGGCAACCAGGCTGTGATATTTATCAAAAATGAAGCCGGGACTGGTGAGTTGGTGAGTTTAGTTGATAACAAGATGGCCTCCTCTATAAATTCTATCATCTTTGGACTTTTTTTCAGAAGAAACTCCGTTTTTGCAGCAATTGTTTTCACTGAATATTTGTTTAACCATTCGGACACTCGACTCCCAATCCTTCTCTCTGTCATGAGAGCAGTTGTAACAGTAGACTGGACGCACAAATAAAACTGCAAGTCATCGGCAAAAAAATTGATAATCAACGTGGAATTGTTTCAAGATGCGCGTAAGCGGAAGTAGATATAAAGCGAAAAGCAAGGGGCAGAGTACGGATCCCTGTTGGACTATATGGAGAATCCGAACAGTTTTCGAAACACTTCACTTGATTGACATCCTCTGTTTTAATCCAATTTTTTGAAGTCTCAAAACCCAGTGTAGATTTTTGAAATTGAGAGGAGTTGTTCGTGATCGAGCTTGTCGAAGGCAGCTGACAAATTTTAAACAATCAAAAATACTCAGAAACGTAAGAATGCAGTAGGAGCATTCAAATTATTGAGCAGATACTACCAGTCCCGTTTATAATTAAGCAAGAAATTGTCTTGGACATAATGAGCAGGATTGTTGGTTTTCAGAAAGAAACCAGCTAAAAAAAGGATCACTCTGCAATCATCCATATCCATTACCAAATATGAAATTATCAACTTTTCAAAATCAACTCAAAAAATTAACTGTGTGGATCAGTTCATGGCAACATAATTAAAGCTTTAAAAGTATGTTTACTACAAACAGAGGTAGGTTAGTAATTGAAATTACAAATAAGGTTCTACAAGTCGTACTACTTTTTTTTAAATGGGTGTCTTTTTAAAATATGGTTTGATATTGTTTTTCAGCAAAGAAGGCAAATTAACATCTCGGTTTATCCGTTAGACAATAAGTTTTTTTTCATGTTCCTTCCTGTCTTCTCTATTTTTGTAATATGTGCTATGTTTTCACGTGACTAGGGGACTAGAGCAGCCGTTTGAGTGTCTGGTGCAGCAGTGCAGTGTCCGTGCCCACCATCCGATCCCCCCTCATCTCCCCCAACTCCCCCGAGAACATCCTCCAGAAGGTGAAGGTTGGGGTGGCCTCTATACTGTACGTCTCCTGCAGACTCTTAAATACATTTTTTTCTGAGCGGAAAATTCTAAGTTTCGATTGCTTCTCCACAAATTTAAACATTTTTTTTTCCATATTTTGTGTACTTTTACTTCTATACTTATTTTTTTGACGACAACAGTATTGAAAATAAAGGTTCCGTGGGTAGATCATCGAAAAATCGTTACTTAAGCTCTGTATCAAGGCGGTTCAGTTATGTCTCGTATGCACAAGCCGCAACAAAAATGAAAAGTTGCGGGTTTTGACGAATGTTTTATATAGAATAAACACATAGTCTAATAATACTGCGAAGCCGAAAAGTCCTGACTTGTTTTTAGGTTTCCTTGAGTAAAACTGAGAAGATTATCACTACTGTGAAGGTACACGTATGAAATAGTGCATTTTCAGAATGAAAAAAATCTATTTTATTTTAAACAAAAGGTACGCAACATCAAAAAAACTTCTAAAAACACCAGTATTGCAACTGCAGCTACGAGACGACATCTGTCTATCATTATTCAGGGTGAAAAAAAACTGATGCCAAAATGAGTTGAAATCAGTCCAGTTGATCTTACAGGCATGGTTGATATGCTGATGAATCTGATGATGACATTTTCGCCCGCCTGTCCGAAGGTCTCGTCCACCTCCAGCAGAAACTGCAGCTCCTTGATTGATCTGAAGCCAAGACAAATATTGCGCGTGTAATCAGTTAGTTAAATAAGGCAACAAAAGTAGCCGCATTTTGATCTATTTGGTATTTTTGTTTATTTTTTCTGTAATATATGTATTGTTTTCTGAATAAATAGTACATAGATTAACCAATTACGTCTAGATAAGATAGTACTTAATAGAAACTTCTCAGCCTCGCTTCAAATTTTGAACCACTTTATGCGCTTCCTCAAGTTGGTTCTCATTCAATTATAAATTTTCTTTTTTGATGGATGATTACACCACTTGAAGCAAGTATATATTTTTTTCTCAAAACTGAAAAAGCTTAGTTGATTTTTGGAAATTTGTTGATTTAGGGCACGAGTGAAAAAGTTTTAACATTAAGCCACACTTGATCCTCTACGATCTAAAAATTGGGCAAAAACACCCTATTACCTAGTTCATTCCCTCCCAATCCGCGAAGTGGTCGGAACTAGAAGAGGGCTCAGATGTTATGCAACTAACACTCAGTGTTCCGACTAAATTAAATTATAAAAATCATAATAACAAATTGTTATCATATCAGTGATTATTCAATAGACATTTGTCAATTTACATAATTCTGATATGCAAGGAAATCAAAAAGCCCGATAAGCCTAGTCAAGTGATGCCCTAATTATTGCCTTATTTATCGTCTTGGGAATAGAGGAGGGCAAAATTTTGCTTAATCAAGTCGCTAATGATAGTATTAATAAATTCAAAATAATTAGATTTTAAAATGTTGTATCGCGTACCGCCATGCATTATACTGCGAAAAAGGATTTTTTCAGTTATTTTTTGAAGCCCATTTATTTTTTTGAGAATTTTGTTTGGTATGAAAACCCGAAGTTACATTTTTTCCAATTTTGGTCAGCGGTATACCTCACAAGGTATACATTTCTTGAGTATAAACATACATAGGGATAGATTTAAGGGGGTGGACGTCTTCCCCCCGCATAGATTCGATCCCATCATCAAACAAAGTCCCTAAACTCATACTAAACTTGCGCGCTAGAAAAAAGTGTTTTTTTAGCAACACTTTCCAAAAAAACCTAAAAACCTAAAAACGGGCTTTAGGACCGGTGTTTTCAAAAATTTGTCGTGTTACGGGAGTTCTCGGAAAATCAATATGGTCGTCCTTAAAAAATTTTCCCCTTACTTTTTGAAAATCCTCCTTCCCTCAAGAGAATCCTAGATTCGCCCATGAGTTTACATATTTTGTTTTGAGCAGCGACTTTGTGGAGAGCTGTTGAGTTTATGTGCGCTTTTCAGTCAGATTCAGTCCCCATTATCAAACCTCTAATGTGGTCGAATGCTATGTCATATTGAAGCATTGAAGTACTGATTCCAAATGTATTAAAAACTGACAAAACTTTTTGAAATTTTGCGAATACCACCCGTTAACTTTTTTTTCGTTTGTATAAAGTTTTCGTTTGTCTGCTTATGTTTTACGGCTTGATGGCCACAACACAAATTTTTGCTCCTTGCAATTTTCATTTTAGTTACAAGAGTTGGTGATTTACGGCTGTATTTTCAAAATTTACTAACCCTGACTTTGATGTTTCCATTCCTTTTGTTTCTTTTTTGCTTATGACCTTTATTCGTCCTAGATAGATTCGTTCAACGGTTTATCGGATTAGTCAAATAAGTTTGTGGCGTTTCAAAATAGTGCAGAATTTGGTTGAAAATTATTCAGGTCGGCTATGGTATAATTGTTCAAAGTTAAAAAATTTATTCAATCAAAAAATTTTTGGCGAAAAGTTCTGATGGCGTTTTCTGTTTTCTGGTCAGTTTCTAGTTTCTAGTCGGCTTAGTGACAACTTAGTGAAAATTTAAAGTTGATTTAATGCTGTTAGTTGTATTTCACGTCTCATGAAGCTTCATATCAATTGCGAGACAACACATACCTTGTCTACAAAGAAACCGACAGAGAGCCAAGACGAAAACCATAGAAAACAGTTTTAGAAAAAATTCTGGTGAAACATCATAAAAATTGGCAACCTTAAAATTTCCCTTTTTTTTCCGAGTTTGTCACCAAAAATATTTGCAAAGAAAATGCCAAGATGTCACATAAGTGAAGGCTAAATAAGCATCAAAACAAAACGTACAAAGTAGTTACAAAGCCGATAAATTTTGAAACCGTACCTTGCGCCAAAAAATTGTTTCCTATTAAAACTTTTGGATCTACTGGTATCAGATTTGCTAAACTGTTAACCAACTTGAAAAGTGAACTACCAAAAAGCAGGCATATAAAACAGACGTGCTTAAATTTTGTCTGTTAGCTGAGGAGAATACAGATGGAGAGAGAAGACCACCGTTTTCAGTCATCCTCTAAACATAGAGTAGCAACATTGCAGTAAACAAAAGGCTCATTGCAGTGGTAATAACACTGTGAAAACTGAAATTATGATTTTAAAAGGCAAAGCGGAAATTTGCACCACTTGCGATAAATCCAAGATAAAAAAACAAGTAAAAAAAAAGAAAATGATGAAAAAAAAACTAAATCAAAAAAAGATTTAAGTGAACCAAATCAATAAAAGACAACTAGAGGATAATATAAAACTGGATATTTTTGAGAAATTGAAATTTTCTAAATGACATAACATTTCTTCTACCAAAAAAAAAGAAAATTCGTCACTTCTAAAGGAAAATTCTTGCAACCAGTTTTAAGTTTTTCATCCCAGATTTGATAGGGTAGTTTTTAAGAAAAATCAAAAATTTCTAAAAAAAACGGTCATAAGTTCAAAAACTAGACTTCTCGAAAAGCATATTTATTCTGCAAAAACGGGTTGTGGCAAAACCTGTCTTCTCGATTGAACATTAAATCTGAGAAATGGCTCGGTTGTTTTGAGTTATGTCAAAGGTTTCTAAGAAATTATCAAAGTTTTATAAGGCCAGAAAGATTTCTTAGCGAAATTCTGTGCAGATAATTATAACGGTAGGTTTTCAAAAACCTGTTAATTTGATTAAACCTATGATATCAGATTTTGCAGAATAGTTATCAAGAAAAATCCAGAGCAAGGTCAACAAATGAAAAACTTGACTTTTCCCATTATCGAAGATTTTTGTTTAAGAAAATATTTGGAGGAAGCCACACATGCAGAAAAGATTCATGCAATCTGTAAGATTAATTGAATACTAAAATTCAGGCGTGGAAGAATGTAGTTTGCAAGAAAGGTTGAAAAATTTCAAAAAATGGTCAAAAATCAAAACTTTGACTTTTCCGGTGGTCATAAGTTTGTGTCAAAAAAAGTTGGGCGTAGTCGCGTATGTAATGGAGCGCCCACAACCCGTTCTTTGGATTGAACCCAAAACCTTAGATATGGGAGCAGGGGTGGATTTAGGGGGAGCCGAGGAAGCGGCCGCTCAATTCCCCTCCTTCCTCGCGGATTCGACCCCCTCACCAACCAAAAGGTCCCCCTTTGGTATTATTCTATGGCATCCATTATTGGCCAATCAACCGTAAAATATTTCTAAAGGCGCATTGGTCACTAATGTAGACTAAGTTTGAAGAGCAGCTCGCACCAAAAAACGCAATTTTTTGACGAAATTTTTCAAAATAAAAGCCAAAAAAACGCATTATTGAACTGTTTGTTCCAAAATTTGCATGCGCGCAAAGCATTTTGTCAACATAGGGCCTGAATAATGAGTGTTCTAGAAGCGCTTATGTCAAATCAAATTGTTCGATTGAGAAAAAAGGTCCTTCTAAAATTTACTCACCCCATACCTCTTCTGAGGGCCAAAGTTTTATGTGTAAAAAGACTTAATGGGTAGCCGCTTCTGCAGGAGAGTTTTTAAAATTCAATCTATTCATTGAAATCAAAACAGCAGATTTGAGAGTGCAGCTTTTTTGATGGCTGCAGATAGAGGTGTAAAACAAAAAAAAAAGATTATGGGAGCTTACAGACACCCAGGTGAGCAGACAGTTTTCCTTTAATGTCTCTTTTTGAAAAATTGGTAGAAGTTTTTGAAAAAAACTTAAATATGTTTTTTTTAAAAATCCCAAAAACTATCACATTACCTGCTTTCATCAAACAAAAATTCTAAGCAAATACATCTAACATGGATTTTCAATTTATGATTAGCAATTAAACAAAATTTACGAAATGGAAACAAAACCGAAATGGAAACAAAACCGTCCGGCATATCAATTTTAATCGGATTTTTTTTTCAATTGCATATTTTTCGATAAAAAGAAAGTCCTACTGGGATTCAAATCCCGGCTTTTAAAGGGCAAAGGCGATTCCTTTACCTCTACGCCACGTTCGAATGATCCTGGAGCTTGTTATTTTCAATAATAAAGCGAGTTGAAATTTTGTAAAAACTGTTTACGGAAAAAAGTCTTGTTCCTCATTACAAGACACTTGCTTCCGCAAACGTTTAAAAACTGAATTTGGAACGTGGGTGTTAAGGAAATAACTTTTCTTTAAGCAAACTATGAGGTGACAACAATAAAGATCTGAGCTATAGAAGTAGCAATTAAAAGTTTATAAAAATGTTTTTTTTTTAAAGTAAGAGTCAATAAAATACTCTCATCAAAAAATTTTGTACCCACTTCTGCGAAGCACCATCTCAATGTCGAGATTTCAAGTTGATTCAAATCTCTTAGCAACCAAAAGTTAAAAGATGCTTCAAGTTCAGCCTTAGGTGCCAAATATAGATAGGAGTTGTAATTGAGAAAAAATACTTGCAAGTATTCACATGCAGAACCAGCGTTTCACTAGCTTTTAACCAGCTGATCGATCGCTTGATAAAATCAGAAAAACTGAAATTACTGAAGTGTCTTTAATTTGCATTTGAGGGTTGTAAGGCAAAACAAAAGTCAAGCGTCGGGCGTTTTTTTTTGTACTCAAGAAACTGTGATATAAGCAACATTTCTTGCTGGACAACATAGTTTCAAAATTACCTTTTGTAATTGAGAGAACCAGTGGTAAAATTTTGTACTTCAAAAAGTAAAATCTGAGCGTCATCAATTTTTGGGGAAAGTAGCGATTGTTTTTTCGAGAAAATATCCGCAATTCTCCAAAATTGTTTGAGCACGCCTGAAAATATCTGTGAAGTACCAAATTTTTCCATCAAACTTCCATTAAACCAACGCATTGTAAAAAAACCAGTTCTATTTAGCACATAAAAAAGAGCCAAATGAACAAATAAAATATTGTATATAGTGCAGTATCATTGGCAAAAAACGAAGTCCAAAGAAAACAAAATAACAAAATTATCAGAGTTGATTGGGAAACGCGTATTTGCTAATTCTAGTTATACCAAGTCTAAAATCATCTTATCTCTCGCATAAAACTCAAACAAAAACGCGATAACTTTTCTCAGACTTTACCCTCAGCTGCAAAAAAGGCAATTCAGTAGTTTTAGTTTTTTTTCTGTTTTGTCTTTTAAAGTACAGTTAGTCAAAAGCTACTTAACCAGTGCATGTTTATAAATAACTTGAAAAAATTGTTTCTTCTCAATTAGCTGTGGAAATTGAGTCTCAAACGGCTGCATCAATTAATTTTTTTTAGCTTCAAAATCCTACGGGGAATAAAAAACTCAAATTCTAAGTCCCACGTCCCTAGACAGTATCATGCATTACCGAATGTCAGTCGCCAAAAGATCTAAGTTTTGAAATCTCGACACTGTGGGTCAAATTTGCTGTTTGCATTGCATGCAGCGGTTGCTTCTCAAGTAGTCCAAGCTTATTAGATCAGAGCAACTTTCGGATCTTACAAAAATCCCTTAAAGATTTCAATTGTTACCATTTTAGCTGACAGTTATTATTATGAGGAGCTGGTGTCAGGACAAAAGATACCATACCAAAAGCTCCCATGACAAAAGATCTCATACCAAAAGATCCCGTTTACAAAAATCGCCCAACCCATAAAAAAGATCCCATGAAATATGAATAAAAATCATGATCAAAGTGTAAGCAGAAATAAATGCGCAATGATATCTCAATTAGGTTCGCGTTATTAAAAACAATGCAAATTTAAGCTGACTAAATTTAAACTTGACTCAATTTTGGGATTAACAGTGCCAACATGTGTTTAATTTGGTGCTAATATGATATTGAATTACAACAACTCAATTGAAAATGTATACACTCTGCATTCATTATCTCCCTCTTGAACTCAATGAATAGTCAAAAATGAAATCTTCTACTTGGGGAACCTCACAAAAAGGCCAAACACTGATTATTTTTCAATGTCTTAAAAGGCCAAACACATAAAATTAGCCAGCCTTCAATATATACCTTTCTCAAAAAAATTCAACTGAATTCCTATAATCAAAAGTTCAACATTTTGAAGGCATCCAGCAGCATTATCAACTTATCCCGGAAGAAGTACCGTGATCTGAATGCAAATTTTCAACAGATAGCAAGTTCGTACACAGACTCCAACTTATTGTCTTATATCCGTTCACTTGCCCATTTAACCTTTTAAATTTTGTTTTAGTTTTTGCCTAATTTATCCAAAATTTAAATTTGTTTGATCAACTTTTTTTATAGACGTCTCCTTGCACCCTCCCGGAGAACGCCGAAACGCAATACTACGACTCGCATTCAAAAATGCTGTCTCTAGCAATTTGATCCCAGAGCAACTGCTTTTATTTACGGGACGCTAGGTTGGGGGCAGGGGCCTGACGGCCCTTTGAGTATTGCGCCTAGAACAAAGTTGATCAAAATTGAGAATTGATATTTTTTATATCAAAAAGAAAGGCAAGTGATTCGTAATGAAAATGATTTTTAAGCTTTAGAGCTTTTCAAAGCTTTAGAGCTTTGCAAAAACTCAATTTCAATTTTGTACCGACTTGATTTGTCTAGAAAATCAGGCCATTGTTGGCAAAGTTGGCTTTGATTAATTGGAAACTTTTTTCAAGTTCAATTGTAGTCTAAGCTGGTTTGCAGTTTGAGTTTGATTTTGAAGGCCAAGTGATTAGCAAGGTCATTTATGTTCGAAATTTGTGCAGCAAAAATTTTTCCGTTTCTTTGATTTTAACCGACGCTTTGATCAATTAGCCGCTATAGTTTTTGCTTTGATCAATTAACCGCTATATTTTCAATTCTCAGGTTCTTTATCTTATGTCGTGGGCGATTTTAGAACGAGGGCTCTTTTGGAATGGTATCTTATTGACTGGGATCTTCTCGTTTGGGATCTTATGGTAAGGGATCTTTTGTCATGTAACCGAAGAGCTACATAAGGGTCTTCTACTACGTTCATTGACTCTTAATCAATATCAAGCTTATAACTTTAGATTCACATTCGGTGACGACATCCTATTTAGTTGAAGTTTGTTTAGGGCACCGATTTGGGTTCGCGCTGGTTAAGGTTCAGACTGAAAATTAAACCTTCATCTAAAAGCTGTTACATGAAAACCAGGTTACACTGGTTATTAGTTTCAAATCTGTTAAGTGGTTTAAAACTAGGTTCTCCTGCTTTTTCATGAGATCAACAACGCTATGAAAGAAACATAAGACTTACCCGTTGGTGAATACCAAAACTAGAGTCTCATGTTTGACCTCATCGAATAGGTCACTCAGCTCCTCCTCTGACTTAACTGTGTGAGGGTGTGGCATATCCGAAACCAAATGTTTTATTTCCACTCAATAATTTTTCCCAAACTGGATTGTTTTTTTTTCACTTTCTGATGCAGTTGAATGTACTTTAAGGACTAAGTTTGGGAGTAATTTTAATCACAGAATCAAAAACGATTTAGCGCCTTTTTCGAGGATAGTAAATTATAAACAGATTGGTTAATGTGTTTTATAAATCTTGACCAGATTTGTGTGAACACGTTATTACCAATTGGTCATTGGAATGTGGTTTAATAAATCAAGACTACGTTTCGTACCAAGTTGGCTTCTTAAAACAAAAAGCCATTAGTTCTAAAATTTGAAACCAAGCAAATAAAGTGCTGTTTAGTTTTAGAATGTGTGCTGGTAATTTAGAGTCCTGCGCGTGTATGAATGGTTAATGGTCTGATAGCAAAATGCATTTTTTCGAAAAAAAAAAGAAACAAAACTACAGAGCGTGAAACAATCACGCCATTTATATGTGGCGGTGTGTTCAAATCATAGCTTTCTCTCGAAAGAAGGGCACGATTTTTTAAAAGCTAAAGTAAAGTCGTAAAAATGGTTAAGAAAAATGATTAAATGAATATGGTATTATGAACTGTTTTATGAACCGAATACATTATCAGACATTTCATACAGCTGGTTAAGTTAAGCTATTGTGTCACCCTTTCCATTAATATTATATCCATAATACGATTAACGTTTCTTTCCAGTGTTTATGAAGCTACTAAAATCTATTTCGACTAAAATTCTTTTGTTCCTCTAGCCAGTCAGGTATAGCATTATCTGGCGTCATTGAAATAGCTGATTTCTGACGAATTAACTTTGAAGCTGTTTTAGTGACTGAAAATCGTCTTGGCAGAATAATTTCCCCTCCAACGGTACCAAGTTACAATAAACCCAATGACGGAAATTTAACGGTTCAGCATGTACGAATATTGCGGCTCAGCAATTTGTACGGTTCAGCTTGTTAAAAACTTGACATGTTATGATGATTCCAAAAAATGTTAGAAACACTATTTAATGCGAAATTGAAATATTCATGTTAGAAAATTGCAGAAAAATAATATAAAAATAGCCAACAAAGATGTGGAAAAAGGCAAGTAAACAGAAAAAAAAACAACAGGGGCGGATTAAAGAGGGAGGCGGACGACCCGAACCTCAGAATTTGGATAAACTATTCTCCCAAAAATGGCTCCTTTTTTGACGACCCCCACTAAAACTACCAACACTACATGCCAAAAATATATTTCCTTCCCACTTCGTTCAATGGTCGAAGTCATTACTTAATATGAAAAAAACTGAAAGTGTTTTTTTTCTTCCAAACATGACTTGAAAATTGAAACCACATTTGAAATTTCATGTGGAGTATCTTCCCCACACAAGCGACAGCCACTCAATTTTCTTTTCGAGCGGAAAAAAATTCAAGCTATCAAAAGTAGGTCCAGACTGAATTACAACCGTAGGCCCTCAGAGTGCCAGGTCTGAACGTGACCTCTTTGCTCAACGGGCAGAATAGATCCAGAATTTAAATTGATTTAATAATAATAATTGTAGTTCCTGCGAATCGCAGAGGAGCTATCAGTAGGCCTTAACAGTCCTGTCGAGGATAGTCCGTTTATATTATTTCCCCACATTCCAGACTGTGTTATTTTGTTCAGCGAAGCTCTTATTTGCGACTCAAGGCCGTTTTTGTGCGTCTAGAACTTTCATGTGGTACCACTATTGCAGCCAAATTTGGTCAGGTTGTGGTAGACCTGATTTGACTTCAACCTTTGCGAGCTTTTTTTTTGAGGCATAAAAATTGGAACGAAAAAATAACAGTTGCTTTCTACGCCATTTAGGTGGTGGTCGTAACAAAAACTTGTTCGATTATTTTCAAAAGACAGGAAACTTAAGCCAGCATAACTTACTCGAACCAACGCTAAGGTGATTGTATTCTTTTGTAAACCAAAAGTTTCAACATTTAAGGCCCCTATAACTAAGTTTGAAACCACTAACAGCTGCAAAAGCGTTTTTGAACTAACCAAAATCAAAATTAACGAAAGCGCTGTTTCTAGAATAACAAATATTGGCTTCAAACGCATTAATTCCAATCGTTCATGGAACTTTTGAGAAAACTTGATCAAAGTATAATATTATTCTTATTCTGCTTCGAACTCTTGAAACTTATTGTCGAGAACAATTCTTCGCAACATTTCCTTGTTCGAAAATGGTGAGCTCAATTTTACATCTTTTGATGTAATAATTTGCACCGAGCATTGAAAAAAAATACAGAGGCAAGTTTCATTTCGCATACAAAAGCAAAAATATGACCGACAACGCTACTGGGAAAACTGAATGAGAAAAATTTTGAGTCTACATAATTGCTAAGTGACGCAAGCCAATTATGACGCGTTAGCAGTAAATTTGAAAAAAATACCAACAAACATGCCTCAATTTATAGAGCGGACGCATTTTAACCAGTCTACGAAAAAAATCATTAAAAAAATCCGACCATACCCATGTTCGAACCCTCTTATTTTGCTGCTGGTCTCCTTCCCTTCCTCTACGCTAGAGATCCATGATGCATTGAAGCTAAAAGATATTTGTAATATAATAGTCTGTGTTAATATCCTTAGCATTGGCTGTACTTAATAGCTGGATCAAAATGAACATTTTGTCACAGAAATTGCATCGCAACAATATTTGCGGCTTAGGTTAAAAACAAGAAAGTTCTTACTATAACACAAGCTACGCTTGTGTAAACAGCAACGCAGGAAAATTAACATTCAAAAAAACGGCAAGACCAGAAAGTAGCATCATGCTTCAGCTCCACGGCGCGAAAATCAACACTGCAGTCGACTGGCGAAAAGAAGATAATTGCGATATGAAATTGTCAATTTATACATTCATTAACATTAGCACAACTGATAAAAAACATTTTGAGTTCGATACCATCCACTGTTCACTTCCATAACCACCAGTCCTGTTGTAAAATATAGTATTCATGTGTGTGACACTAGTCGTCTTTCTTGTTGACTTCTGATGAAGATTCAGGAACCTAAATTTCAACTTTGTTTTCAAACAGAACGGTCACTTTGCGCGTTGAGATGAATAAAATGTCTTTCTTAGTTTGCAATTTTTGTTCAAATCAAACTGCTCGAAACTATCTTAAAAACTTGGATCTCTTTAACTATATCCCACTTTTGAAAAAGGGGGATATTCGATACTATGTAAAAAATTCTGATATTTTTAACTGTTGATTTATTATTTTATAGGGGGAGGGGATATTCGTTACTAGGTACCCGAGGGGGGATATAGTTAAAGAGATCCAAAAATTATGATCACTTTCCTTTGGATTTTAGAAGCTAGAAACGAAAAGCATGAATTTCTGAATGTTAGCAATACTATGTCAATTCAGATAGCCCACTAAAGCTACACGACTTCGTAAATAAAGATATCTGCAATGAAACAGTATTATTTCAAAACTATTAATCACTTCATCTGCATTTTCATCTGGATATTTGATTTAATGAAATAAATAAACCATAAGTTTACTCACTTTGGAATCACCTTCACTAATCGGAGCATCTAAAACGAAACACAGATGTCGTTCAACGAATTAAACTATGATTGAATTTTGGTGTACAAAGAAACCAGCCGAAATTTATGTTACAGAGTCTAAACTACCGTATTTACTCGTTTATTACTCATGATTTATAACTTTGAAATCCGAAGAATAGTGCGGGTTCTAAACGAGTAAATACGCTGGCCAATAATCATGTCATTTGAATACAACATACATGACTCCTAACTGTTACATACGTGTTAAATAACTGTTATGTAATAGCTACTTATTTTCGGCTGGCTGATATTGTTGCGGTCGCAAATTCATACTCCGGCCCGTTTATATACCATCAGATTTTCCGGTGCATTTGAAAAGCCTTCAAATTGAAAGGAAGTTTACGTCAAAATGATAGCAAACAATGAAAATACAAACCCGTTCTAATGCATCTAAGTAGCAAATGATCAATTCAACATACCCGAAGAAGGACTTTGATTAGATCTTGTTCGGTGTTTCAGATCCTCTTTCGCAGCAGCAGCTAAATCACCGAAGCGCTCGGGCTAAAATAATAAATGAGTGGAAACCCAAGTAAAGAATAAAATTAACACTACCATACAAAACGGGGATCTACTTCACAATCACCCACCCTATGTTACCTATTTAAAAATCGTCACCCCTATAAATAAATACAGTAAATTAACACTTAGCTTTCAATTGAGATTTCTATTTTTGCTGCATTCTGATTGGTCGAAAAACCGACCATTTTGATCTACCTAACAATCTGCCCCCTTTCTTAAAAGGGGGGATTGTTAAGTAGATCTCAAAACGGTTCTGATCTACAAAGTAATCTGGACCCTCCCCTTTCAAGCCAAAAAACATTTAAAAAAAAACTAAAACAAATGAAATCCTAAGAAACCGAGTTGTTTACATTACAAACAACATAACAAGCAAGATTCGAATGGGACAGACATCTAAAATGATAACATGCACAAAATGTATCTGTTGCGGTTATTTGTTGCCATCTGAGGCCTCCAGGAAATGAGTCCAGCTGATGTTGTCAATAAAGTCATTGAAGGGGAAAAAGTCAAGTACCAAGTTGCAACGCACTTGCTATAGCAAGTGTATAAGGCTGTATACTTTTTGTGTCAAAAAAGTGTGCTATAAAACACGATGATGAATGATTTTAAAATATTCATCATTGGAGTATTGTATAGACTTGTGACGAAAGAGCGAACTGAACTGTACCTCTTTGGCGGCTGGCATCTTTTCATCAGTTGGTTTGGACTTCTCGCTCTTCGCAATTGCATTGGTTAGCTTCAGACGCTCACACTCCTCCATGAACTGTTCAGCTGTCTTGGACGCATTCTCCGCCTGTCGCTTGAACGCCTCCATCGACATCTCACTAACTGCATTGCTGCTGATTAATTTCTGCAGCCGATAGATCACTCTAAATATTAACTAACTAATCATAGTCCAATCTTGGAAGAACAAAAAAAGGTCAGCTACGGCCTATTAAGCGGTGTATTCGATTGAAACTCCAGAATTTATCGAGATCTGATAGTTCAATTTTGACGCGATTAACTGTTGCTCACTAATTTTTGCTAAGCAAAAACGAGACGTTTTCAAACAAAACGGAAAAACTTTTTCAGCAATGTGATTCATTGAACGCAAATTTATTACATAAATCAACCTCCTGAAAAGGTTTTTCCGTTTTATTTAAATAAGTCTCGCTTTTAAATTAACAAAGCTCCTTGTTAAGCGCTATTATAAGGCTATAATTCTAACAACGCAAAAAGGCGACTAAACAATGTTATGGGAGCAATCCCTTCAGACTCGCTTATCTAGTCTGTAAATTAATAATAATAATAATGATAATAATAATTATAATAATAATAAAACCGATAAAACATACGCCGAATAAGCCGGTCACGCAAAAAATAATCATAAACCATATAGAGAGGTGAAGCTGAGCTTCGCACCACCTAAGATACAAAAATGAGAGACTATGCTCAAAATCTCATGAAAAAAAAACAAAAAATGAAAAAAAATTGATCAATATTGATTTCAGAAATGCTATTCAAAAATGGAACGACTGAATAAGTTAAACTGGTTCGCAATGTTTTTCTGTAGCAAGCATCATGCGATGAAACGTTCCGCGATTTACATTTCAATTCCATTCGCAAAATAATAATTTTTTTCTCAGCAAGTCTTTCGAGCAATGAAACTATGAAATACGTAGAAATATTTTACAGATCAAAACGGTTCGACGAAAGTTAAGACTTTTCCTCAGCAAGCTAATCAAGCAATGAAATTTCGAAAAAAAAACATTTTTTCATAGAGCAAATCGGCTCGCGAAACTTTGTTTTTCTTAGCAAGCTAAATCGAAAAGCAAACTGATTCGTAAAATTTTTTTTTCAGCAAGCTTTTCAAACAATTGAACTGAAGTTTTCCCAGTCATTTCAATGCAGAACCGGTTCGCAAAAAAAATTAAGTTATTCACAGCCAGCTATTCAACTGATTAAACCGCAAAAAATTTCAGGTTATTTCACCGAGCGAATCAGTTGTAAAAAAAATTGATATATTTCAAGGCAAGTTATTCAATCGATGAAACTGAAATTTTCAGGTTACTTCATAGAACGGATCGGCTAGCAAAAAGCTTAGTTTTTTCAAAAAATTTACTCAAGCGACTTAACTTTGAATCATTTCTGGTTATTTCAAAATGAATCGGTTTGCCAAAGGCGATGTTTATCTAAACAAGCAAGGAAACTTGGAATAATTTTTATAGAGTGAATCGGTTTGGGATTTTATTCTACGCTTTTAGATTTTCCGACGCACTTCTATTAAAAAGAATCCGAATCCGAAGCACTTCCATCACTTTTAAACTACGAGCTTACGGAAGGTGAAGTTTTGGCACCATAGTAAACTACAGCGCCGTAAGCGTGCACCCACGGCTATAAAATTGTTATTTTAAAATTATTTTAAATTGGCCGTGTTTCCTAAACTGAGAGCTTCAGAAAGTCCATGTTTTGGCGTAAGAACAAAAACAGATTGGAACGTAATGTACTCGGATGATGATTATGAGTAGTAAAGTAAAAGTGGCTAGGAAAATGACGACTTTTAACCCCCCCCCCCCAAAATTCAGTGTGCCGTTGTACTTACCACTTTTAACCCCCAAAGGGGTTAAAGCCCCTACTTTTTCAGGCACGCATGTTTTAAGGGGGGTTAAAATTGGTAATTTTCCAGCCACTTTATGGAAATGGGAATGGAATTAAGTTTTGGTTGGTGCATGTTTTCCCTTCTAAAGTTTGTGGGTATTGGCTTGTTTACATGTAAAATGACGTTATATACCTATTATATGCAACCAAACTATATGGTATATAGGAAAGCCAATATTTTGGCAGCGTAGCTTAACTGTTGGCTGCGGTGAACGATTTCCTTCAAAAATGCATGTTTTATTGCTCAATCTCGAAGAAAGGAAAATTCGTCAATTGCGGCGGCCGCCACCTCTATTTAGGCAAAAATGAATGATCTATTTGAACAAAATAAGAATTACTTACCCGAAAGTTGAGCTCGTCGAAGGATTGGTGGTAATATTAATAATAATAATAAACAAATAATAAAGAAAGGGGGATGTTGAGGAAGGGGACTAAAAAAATAAAATTTGGTAAAAAAGAAAAAACCTCTTCTTTATTGAAGAGGTAAGAATAAATAGAGGCGGCTGGGCTGTCCATCAGCACCAGCAGATCAGAAGCCCTGTAGGCAATCCAACCCCCGAGGGCGACCACGTCCCTGAGTTGCTCAGAGAGGAGTTCCCACTCGGGCGACCCAGGGACGTAAGTCCGGGGAAGGGGTTTCCCCTTGGCCCACTGGCGTGGCTTGACCCAGAGCTCCTTCACCACTAATACCTCAGGATCGGGCCCAGCCTTATATCTGACGTGAATTTCCTCCACAGGAATGTTAATCAGCTCTAAACCGCCGAAAGGGATTTTTACTGTTTCGAGGTATGATGGCATCTAAAACAAGCAAATTAACATTTTAAATCACATGAAATTGTTCATCAAATAAAAATTTTTGGAACAGTAGGTTTCGGAAGGTGATAATTGTGCTAAAATTTCTCTAAATTTTCCCCGAGTTTAAAATACGCTTATCACGAAAACACAGACAGAATAAATTGTACTTTTAGCTGCGTGTTATTTTCAACCAGTTTAGAAATTTTGAGTTTGATTTGGAAACAAAAACTGGTAAAAACATTTGATTTGTCGAATACTACTTTTGAAATTGAATAGATTTGTCTTCTTGTTTGACTTTGTCACTAGCTGATTGTAAGAAAAGATAAAGCGCAGACTGAAAATTTATGTTTACTAAAATGTTAAAAATATATGAAAAAGGCTGATGGACTAATTCAATGTATATCACCGAGTTGTAGATATCAGCTGTTGGCATCTAAACGATTACTTTTATTTCCACTGTTTTGAAATTCAGCAGGTTCAAAGAGTGTAGGAAAAAAATGAAATTGGAAAAACGTAGAGTTACCTCAACAGACTTGGAAATCATTCATGAGATTTATTTGACTGTGAAAAAAACCTATCCGGAAAATTCTGACCGTCGGAATTACTTTCTGGCTGCATGTTCTCTGTTTTTCTTTTCCAGTGAATACGAATTAAATTATGACGTAGCTATTAAACTTAGACCATATGGAGGTCTTATTGGCATAGACGATTCTTCCTTGGACAAATATTTAAAAGATTCAAAAATACTACGTCTGCATGCAATTTTACATGACGCCGCAGGTTTTGTTGACGAAGTTTACAACACGGGTCCCACTTACTGCTATATGTTACCCTGGAAGTGTAACAGCAGTCTGATTGGTCATTTGAGCGGTATTACTTTCTGTTTATTCGTCAAACTAACCAGACCAGAACTCTATCAGTTATTAGAATGTTGAGCGAACGATCAGTCGTCATAGATTTGGAAGGATTTCGCTATAAAAAAGTACCTTTATAGTTAAAGAAATAGCCATTACGACTTCTGAATATAGTGACTCTCTTATTTTTCTACCTCCAGTCTCTTTCAACTCACTACCCAAAGCTAAACAAAAAGCGTACAACTGGTTAACACAATACTTGCTCGGAATTCACTGGGAAAGCGGAGATTATTTATATTTAAACCTAAATCAGATTATTCAAAGTTTTGTTTTGAGAAATCCTAACGCTGTATTTTACGCCAAAGGAAAAGAGAAGGCTGAACTCCTTGCAAAGTACTTGGATCGAGAAGATGTGAATCTTGATGAATTGGGTTGCCCGAGAATTGAAAACTTACATTTAAAGAATTATCCATCTTGCAATAGACATTTACAACCTAATTATAACTCTAGGAATCACTGTTCCCTGAAAAAAACGAAGGTTTTTTTTGATTGGCTGACAAATGAGCAACAACGAAAGACTAGCAAAAGCGGAGACGTACCTATCTCCAAACTTAGTGTTCTTGGCTTGGATGACACCAGAGAGTGATATCAAAGTAACTTTGACCAGAACAGAACAAATCAATTGCCGAAGTCAAGTTGTGCAGCGGAAAGGACAAATTACTCTCTCAGGAGACGAATTGACTATTTTAAGAAATTTTTTCCCAGTGATTGACCAATTCATCTATTTTCAACGACACAAGTTTAGTCAAAATGTTGGCCAACAAACGAGGAGTATGTCTTCCCAGGCTAGTCTTAGTGCCCAAACGTCAACCCGGAGTTCAAATGGATCTTCACAGCAGTGACCTACCTGAGGAAGTTCAGAAACTAGTAAAAGAGAACTCTGTAAAGAAAGTTGTATTTCATGCAAAAACTGAATATGTGTTAGCCAATTATGTTGTGGAAATGCTGCATGACAATGACAATGACATAACTAATGACTCTAGAAGTTATACTCGATACGAGATTTTTTATTGTTCTGAAGTATAGATAATACATATTTTATGACAAGAACACATTTTTTCATTCTCATTAAGAAACTAGTGTTATAGATAGAGAGGAGTTAGAAAGAATCAGTTAGAGAGAGAAATATAAATCGAACAACTGAATGACTGAATTAGCTATTGATGAGCCTGATGCTACTATAGTTACAGATTTTGCTTATGATCAAACAAACACTGAACAAAAATCTTGGAAGTTTTGTAATGATGTTACAGTCCCCAGATCAGAAGTAGTTTCTATGTCTCAAATGATTTTAATTTTCATTTTACTTACTTTTTGCATCTTTAAACTTTCTTGGACGCAAATAAGCTGTGAAGAAACGTCAGTTTGGTTTTCAATATTGTCTGGTTTAGTTGGGTACGTGCTACCAAACCCAAGGATATGAATAAAATTATTGATAAGTCGACAAGACTGTTTATGGCAGTTGTAGGACCG